AAGGGTATGTACTAGAAATATTTGGAACAGCTGATATTCCAAAATGTGGTTTTCCAACTGTACAGCTGGCAACATTTTCAACTACTTTGTTCAGTGCTGCACTGCCTCTTGATTAGCTTTCTGCCGATTTTGATGTTCGTTTCGTCTCCTGAATAGATTACTGGCTCTGTGTTTGTCTCAGCAGATGTGCTTGGCAAAGTTTTAGCCGTTTCGAGATGTGCCATTGGTGCTAAGCATCATCTATGGTGAATTTTGAGCAAAGCAAAAAGCTCACCAAAAATGAAGTATCCTTAATTGTCAAACTAAGTAAGCGAAGGCATGAGTGGCTGACGCGAATCAACGCTGAAAATGATGTCGAGGGAAATAGAGTCGGGGCATTGGCGAGTGGCATATAACGTCGAGGGAAATACTGTCGAGGTGTGGGCAGGAGGTAGAATGTCGAAGAAAGTATACTTGGTGTTCTGGAGGGAGATACACGCTAATAGAAGTACAGTCGGGGTACAGGTTAGAGATACTAATTTGAAATAACGCCTTGTATAGATTACTACCGAGCGTTAGCGTTTTTGGAGAATGCGCTTGGAGAAATGCGTAAAAATGCCGACGCTTAAACTCTGATCGAAACAAGAATACCTGAGTAGCTCCTCAGAGCATCGTCCGTTCCATGCTCCGCCAAGACCGACCACAGTTGTATCCCTCGCGATGCAGCTGCACTGCTTGGCCGTCGATTACAGTGTTCATACTTTCTTTTATCGTTTACATCCTGTTCGAAGGAATCACCAAAAACAGCAGAATGGAGAGGAGAGACTGAGGCATAGGGGAAAAAAATGCATAGTTAAACATTTTATAGAAATTCACTTCATCAACGACTCGTCCCGAAAATTCTTTCTAAACCATAAAATGAGATACCTTACCTAGTAGAGTTTGTATGACTGAAAATATTAAATAAATGTGTGCTCATTTTTCTCAGAAATTATGAACTGATTGTTCCTAATAGAAACTTGAGGAGGTGCATATTATTTTTGCTCTTATAATTCTCGTATGTGGAAGGCCAAATAGATACTGCTGCATGCCACACTGTGATAAATAATAATTATGGTCATCAAGAGGGTTTTAATTTCTGGTGTACTAAAAATGATAAACAAGTTTTGTTGGATGTGCCTGTTTTCGAAGTTTTCCACTCATTAGTGTCAACTTCTGTCTTTTATTTGTTCATTAGCAACGGAACGTGCTAGCAAAAACTGATTTAAAATATGCTGTTACCGTTGAGATGATTTGAACTACTGCTATAGAATATACACTTTCAATAAAATGCAGCCAGAGTTGACGTTGAGGCGCGGTAAAAATTTTTCTAGGAGAATTACGACAGTGTTCAGGAATTTTTTCTAGGAGAATTACGACAGTGCCTTTTTGGAACGGGTGTATTCAGCGCCGTTGATTTCGCTGTCAGAATTGTTGAAAAGTATTATAAACAGAGGGTATCGAAGTAGAACGATTCGAGTCCAATATAGTACATTGTCGGAGTATCTTAATATTGCTGATCACTTGAAAATTATGCGGGATTTCAAGGTTAGCCCAAGTTATAAAGCTTTTCGGCATAAATCGCAAGATCGCAGAACCGGTAATAATGTCAGATAACTCAGCAATATGGGCTCTACCACTAAAGAAATGCTGGATGCCGAACCCGTGCATAGTAAAATTTCCGCTTGCTATTATGGATGGAAGGCCGGCCACATAAACACATCTGACAAAAAAATTTTGACGTCTCTTCTAACTAATCAAATAGTACTATTTGCCCTCCGTCCAATTGACGTGTTGTACTGGTGTTGTACTGCTCTGAGTGCAATACCACTGCAGTAGCAGCAAAAGTAACAAAACAATTAATAGTGATAATAAAAAATAATAATAACAATAACAACAATAATAATAGCATTAATAATAAAAGCAGCAGCATTACCAGTAGTACCCCAAACTAGTAGACGACCTACGAGCACTTTATATATGTCACTGTGCAATGAAGATTTTCAGGATGGTGTGCCGCGAACTGCGTATCTTGGTGTTGTAACGTGTTTCGTTTACGGGGTACGAATTTATATAGCACCGAATCCGAGCAGCTGGGAGAAGTATGATCCGAAATGGGAGGCACTGCCGAGCGCAAACGATGTCATCACTTTCTTGTAGCTGCATAACTTGTTTCGCTTTTTGGTTTATAGCTTTATGTTCCGTTTCGTATTGTAAAAACTTTTGTTTGCTTAGCATTCTTCCATTGTTTGTTTGATTTCAGCTGGGATTTAGTTTCGATAGTTAATAATTTTGTGCTTCTTTCTTTTTTGGTTCGGGTTGCTGCATCCCGGTAATCCCGAGGGTTCGACAGCGGGAAAATTAAATTGGAACAACTCTCTTCTCTCATGCAATTTTCAAAGAAAGCACTGGGAATTGCGAGACAAAAAGAAAAATTTGAAGAACCAATCAATGGTGAGCGCCTACATTTATGGGTTGGCCAGAATTAAGACATAGTTGCCCGATTAAGCCGCCTTTGAGCTGAAGTCATATTTGTCATGTTCACTAGTCTAGTTCTTAACTCGCTAGCTCATCGCTTTTTATTTAGCTGTCCAAATTTTGCGAACTAATTTAGTGTTTTACTCCATACGGTTTTGAGACGACTACTTTGAATAGCGCTCTGTTCCTTGATATATTCCCAGAATGTTTTCTCTCTTGCTGAAAAGCACGGTGCGGTGGGAAGTAGTACTGTCTTCGTGCAGTAAGTCGAGGGGTTCGGTTTTGCCGGTGCGACAACCGATTGCTCTGCGATTTGTTCATTCGTTTCGATGGTAAATTGG